GCAATTTTGCGTTTTAGATCAAAAATCAGTCATCGTTTTTCAGTTGTTGTGAGTAGCAGAGGTGCGAATGGCTCAAATAGATATCTCATCGAGTTGAAAAAGTTGGGGAATTGTGATCGCGAACTCACTTTTCATGGTGTTCTTTATGTTTTGTGTGTTCTCGTTTCTTCGATTTCGACTGCTTCTCTTGCTTCAACTTGAGCAATTTTCTCGCCCGTAGCTTTCGTTTCTTGTATTCCGCAAGCGAATAGCGACCAGTTTCCGGTCGCTGCGGCCAGATCACCTCAACAACACATTCCTCGTCGCCATTAGTCAAGATAAGGCTCAAATGTACTTAATAAGGCTTTAAATTTAGGCAGCTGTCACAATGCATCATCATTCCTTATTCAAGCATTACTATAATTGCTATTCCTCTCACATTCAGCATAATTATCACTATTATTACGATTTCTCTTGTTATTTTTTGCTATGTTCATGCTATAATTAGCATTATTATCACTATCGTATCACAGCCACCATTTAGCGATCAGCAACTATGATCCCTGCAAACATCTTCAAAGCAACTCACATTCAACGTCCTACTAACAAGGTTTCCGTGTTTATCTTCAACAACCGCATAACTTGGCGGAGAATCAGAATCATGTTCAGACTGAAATTTGTTTCGTTGTAAACCTTCTCAAATCACTGAGCAGATGCGAGAAAATAATTTTTAGATGAGGCTCAAATGTGCTTAAGGCTTCAAACAAATCCTATTTTGATAAACATCCACAACTGGAAAGATTATGAACGTCTATTTGCTTGAATCAGAAGAGGATCTTTTAGACTGTTTTGCAAAGGTCAACAACACTTGACGGTGTCTTTTTCTGTGCAAAAATTTCATTTCTAAACTCGCTTGCTTCGACTTGTTCCAACGAAAAATTATTCGTCTATCTATTAATTGTTACACACTGGCGATATGCGGCGATATTTAGATGGTTTTGTTCGTTCATTTGGTAAATTGAGATAGATTTGGAGACGATGAATGAATGCGTACGGGAATGTTTATTAGTTGCAGACAGCGGATCGAATACTGATCACTCACAAATAACAACGGAAATTTGCAATGCAAACAGAGTTACGCCCTTAGGAACTGACTGAAGGCTGAGCAAAAAAACCAACTTGTGTGCAGCATAAGAATCGTGCCATCCCAACTGGGAATTCAGGCGTGCTCACTTACCGAACACTTGGAAATTCGTTTGGTTCGCCTTTGATGACGTTTCGAAACAGCACAGCGTGACGATTGTGAGCTATCGGTGCGGCTACTATCACTATCACTCGAATCACTTCGAGAACTACTCCACCACAAAGACATCCAAGGACTACCAACCATCCTTGGTGTTCAGCTCAACAATAGATGANCAAGCATACTCAAATTTCTTACAATTCGCCTGATTTTGGGGAAGTTTTTATCAGTTTCGCAATGAATTTATTCAAAAACAATACGATCACTTGGTGTAGACTTCGAAAACATGTCAAAATAATAAAAGATTACTGAATGGAAACAATTATTCAAGTGTGCAGTTTGAAATGTAGCATAATATTTCATGTTCTGTTGAAGATAATCATGGAAAAATGCTTGGATGATTAGTAGGAATGAAGAGAAAAATAACAAGCAATCAAATATGCATACGGTATGTACTCTACAAGTGGTGAATGAAGTTCTGCTAATATTCATTGCAATCAACACAGAATATGTAATATCTTCAAGAATGCATTTTTAATAACCGTGAAAAGTTTTTCGTTGCATTCAGTGGATGTTGTGCACATGAAGTACTACTCTTGAAATTGGTGAATGACAGATGCAATTTTGAATCGCTTGAAAATGCTTCTATCAATCATATCTTAGCAATACTCTAGGCGCAGATGTGATTCTATGCAATCAAGAAATGCCTCGTGCCCTGATCGAGATTCATATTCATTTGGTAATAATGGACATTTGTTAATAATGAGTTTTATGAGAAACGTTTTTTGCGATTAGAAATTCGAATATAAGTGAGCGGTCTTTTTTTTGGCTTATTTTCTGGCTGTATTGATTCTGGCTGGTTGAATCCATTCGTTTAGGGCTAGAAGATTGGATTCGTTAATGGTTGAAAGCGATTGTCCTATTCAATACTCTCGAGTCGATTCATTGGACCATTAATTCGCTTACTTCTTCCATTAGCTGATGACATCAGTGCTTTGTAATACTGAGAACAATTTGCGTTTGTTTTGAAAACACAATTTTGGAATGCAATTTGCTTTAAATTTAATGCAGAAAATGAAAAATTACTCGACGTTCACTCTTACACACTAAATTCACATGTTTTTTTTCAAATTGTTATCTGCTTCTTCTGATGCTCTTCTTCACATGTCTTCACATGTTTTTTACCTTTTTCAAATGTTTCTTTATTTTGTTATAGCATCTATTCACCCATGTTCAGGAACTAGCAGCACTCCTTGAAGCATTCTGTTATTCTAGATCAAATGAGATCAGTCGGTTGAATGTTCTGTCGGCTATTCACGTTGACATCATTTTATTCGCTGCGACTCTAAACTGTGATCTAATCGAGTATAAACTTTCGCATGACATCACCCAATGGTCAGCACTTTATTGGCTCTAAAACGTTGATAAATGTAAATGCTTTGCGCAAAAGCAACGCAATAGAATGTGAAGAAATGCCGAGAAACTAATTGGATTACATTTCGCGTTGAGGAATAAATAATAAAATGATAGTCGTCAGTGAATGCACGCCTTTGGGAGATTGTTACAACGATTACATAATAGTTTTAGATGTTACATTTATTTGCGATGAAATTTCTACGATTTCTCGAATTGTTCAATGCTATCTTCACGAAAGCACACTCACTGTGANTCTTTCCATACGGCTAATGATAATAACGATGGAAATCACCTGTCTTCAAGTAATGTTAAATTCGATTATTGAATTGGCAAACGCAGAGGTGTTGGGCTTCTCTCCCATACTACCCAATGATTTCTTGGGAGAGGGACTCAAAAAGAGTCCGAAAATATCCTCAGATTGATCGATTGAACATGCGTCCAGTGATCACTCAGAGTGGCTGTTTGAAACAAGCAACAGTACTAAACCAGTGATCATTCGGGATCAACGATAAATAAGGAGTTTAGTTAATATAACTGAATAGATCCATAGCTTGTTGAACGTTCCACAACCAAGTAATGACGGATGTCCGTTGACACTTTGTATAATTAAATATAGCCGGATATCAATCCATCAAGTAATCGCAATAACGATAAACTTTTTGATGATCATTCCACTATGACATGCCGCATATTATCTCTAGCTTATATATATATCCTCATCTTTATTCTAATGATCCTTGTCATTCACCGTTTCGTTTGTTTTATTGACGATTTTATGGTTTCACTCATCAAATTCTCATCAAAAAATTCATTCATTTTTTTACTCAGTTGTGAGTGGAATGGTTTTTTTTCTTTGAATCAAATTCGAATTCGTATCTTATAAATTGATTTTGTGATACACGACAGGTTGTACACTCGCTTATTCTTATTGTACTTTGTGCTGGCAAACACAGTGACGCAACAACCAATTTTATGATGACAATTCCCGTCATTGCTGTCGACGTGGTTGAATCAGAGGATGTGAAGTGGATTTTACGGAGGATATATGAGCGGATATAACAAAATCGACGTTTTGGTCATACAAACGTTTCAAGAATTGAGTGCAATCCAATGGAACACTAATGGATTCAAGAAGCTTCATATTGGACACATGAGAATGGACTCA